GCTTTGCTGACTGATGTAAGCACTTGTGAATTGATAACAACACTCTAGATGTGATCTCTATACACTTCTTTCGTGTTTGTTAAAATAACAGCATGCTTAATGTGTAACTCAACAAGTCTCTCAGGCACATAAATTATTCCTTTAATAAAGCATTTAGTGTGGTGGCATAGCTCAAACTTTCAGACCAATCGTGCTTTTTTTGCATCTGTGCAAACCTGAAATTAGGGACTCTAAGAGCAGTCATACAGTCATCAGTCGTACACCTGGGTGGAGAGAGGAACTGTGAGAGTTAAGTGTCGTCCCCAGAAATGTAACACAATGTCCCTGGCCGGGGTTTGCAGAAGTTACTTATGTCTTTGCCCTATTAATTGGGTTATCCTAGCCTGTAGGACAGCATCTGTGCAACCACTTCCTAGGAGCCAAGATTCTATTGCTTTAGAGATGCTTTCTCTATATGGAGTCTCCTATGTATAACTACCCACTTATCTTCTTCTATTGTGTTTAGATGACTATGTTGTATTTATTTAGCTAGGGGATATAAGTGTTTATCATAAGCTAACTGCTTCATATACTGGGTCATCATGTTTTTACATTGTTCATAACATCATTATGGCAACCTTAATCATAATTAAACTACGAGTACATTCTGCAAAAAAGAGGGAAATCCCTGTGTGCTTCTCTCTTATGGGTAATGCTTTCTCTTTGTCTGTCTCTTTTTGTTCTTCTTCATGTTCTTTCTTACACTTAATCCTTTCGGTCTGTTTCACTGTGCGCTGAGATCCTCTAAATTAGTAAAAATTAATGCAAATTTTACCTACACTGTATGTGTGCAGTAAGTTGTCATGAATATTTTTAGCATTCCAATGTTTTTGATGTGAAGTGAATATGAAATAATTCATATTTGAACTGCAGTTGTAGATGAAAGTGAAGAATGATCATCGCAGAAACCGCAGTTCAAACATGAATTATTTCATATATACTTCACATCATTTCACTCCTCTTGGGAAGATATGAACTCAGTTAATTGACCTCGCTCCCAATGTGTCGTTTCATAGCTCAGTTGGTAGAGCATCGCACCGGTATCGCGGAGGTCACGGGTTCGAATCCCGTTGAAGCCCTGATTTTTTTCAGGCTTCTTCTTTCC